GGAGGTATAAGACAAAGTGATCCTCTTTATCCCACCCTCTTCATCTTGGCATTTGATTACTAATCTAGGAGTATACAAGACCTTTTTCACAGTAAAGGGAACCCTCAGATTTCCCATTTGTCTTATGTAGATGATCTCATAGTTTTTACCAAGGCAAACAAAACTACTATCAAAAGGGTGTGCCATTTATTTCAACATTTTGAATAGGTGTCCGGGATGGTGCGTAACAAAGGTAAATGTGAATTCTATGTTGGCAAAGCTATCCCTCTGGATAGAAGGCTTCGGATAGCTGGGTTTATTGGTTTTTCAAGAAGCTGCTTCCCCATTTCTTATATCAGCATTAAAATCAGTAGAGGGAAGAAGAAATACTGCCTTTTTGAGAAAATCTTTCTGACGGTAACTGTTAAACTTTAAACTTGGGAGAATAGTTTTCTTTCTCTTGGAGTCAACACGCTCACTTTACTCAAAAACATCCTCACAACTATCCCTCTATACTCCATACAGGTCTTAAAAATGCTTAGGACTATTATTTTGAGATTGGAAAGTGTATTTAACAAATTCCTTTGGAGTGGGAATTCATCTAGAGTTTATAGGGTCGGATGGAAGAAGCTTTATAAGCCAATTACTAGTGGTTGATTGGGGTTTCAATCACTTGAAGAATCAACGAAGATCAACTTTATGATGTTATGGATAAAATTTTGGGTTGGCTAGTCTCTTTGGGCCAATCTGATGAGCGGTAAATGATGTGGTCAAGCTCACACTCTCGCCTGTGTAACTCAAGTTACTGATTAAATAGTTTGGAAGGAAATGTCACCATAGAGCTGCAGCTGAAGATTTTATCAACCAAATATTATTTCGGTGTTATAAGTAGAAATTATCATTGTAATGAAAGTATTATTTCATTTATTCATAATCAAACTAACCTAGTAGCACCTCTGGAAAATTATATTTATGAGTTAATGTAGTAAATTTGAAAATGTGGCTATTGTGTGCGTTGTCTTCCCATCTGGTCATTATAAAAATGGAATACATATTAGAATCACATACAACCATTATATTTTGTGTTGGTGAACCACAACATCCAATGTATGCAATTTTTTTACTATTGGACAGGCATGCATCCACATGCGTTCCATCAATTGTTCAATGCAATTCCAATACAATCCTAATTCATTTATGTAAGATATCGAAGTTATTGCATTAAAGTAAATTTTGGAAAAGATGAACATAAGGATCTATCTTAAAATATGGCATATTACTTTGATCTTGTGAAATCTCTATAGGGGTGCTTTGAAATTTTGGGTCTTCAGGTCTGATAACTTTTGAAGATAAACTAATCAGAGCATCAAAACAATTGAAAAATATCTACTATTATTTCTGATGAGTGTTTGAATCGCTCCATGGCTCCCGTCACTCATTTTGTGATAATATAAAGAGAGTTAGAGCTAACACATCTTGAAATCATTCTAGAGAAGCCCTGAAGTTCATGATTTTGTGCAGTTCCTCTAATAAATCAATAAATATGGTCTGTGTCATACGAAGCATGTTGATAAATCTTGTTGAATGACCCATAAGGAACTCCCTAACCCATTTTTCGCCAATGTAGGTGGATGTCATGTAAGATGTACGAGTAATATATGAGTTGTAATACTCATACAAGAAGCATAATGCATCTGCAACTTTCCTTTTATATCTTTCTCTATCCATGTTATTCATTATTGATGTAGCTAACACACATAAATAACATTGAATTAGCAATTAATACCCTAAACATGAACCATGGGAATGACAGTTTCAAAAGTAACGACTGATTGTAGCGTTGATACATTAAAAAAAAATGTCCTACACCCATAGCAATCAAATATAAAGAAGGCTAGAAATAACACAAAATTCAATCATCCTAAATATCTTGAAAATAATGTACATAATTAACCCTACGATTAAGTGTCATCGACATAAAGAACTCTCTCCTAGTCAGATCTTCTAACAACTTCATTGAAATAATAATAATAATAAACGGCATGCCTTCATAAATTTCTAGAGTTTCTTTTTGTATTCTTATAACTTTTTAAATAGAAGTTGCATGTGATGTACTCTAATTGCAAAATTTGACTTCTAATGAAAACCACACGATCTTTTTTTCTTTTTTTCAACTCGAGGTAATTTGGAACGGTTAGTGGACCCAACTTCATTTAGGTTTAGATTAAACCCTTCATTTGAGTCAATTGTTTGCTAAGCATCTGCTTGCTTAGCTCTACATGCACTCTCTCGCTTGGTGTCATTGCATGAACACCTGTGACCACAACTCCACCAAACATTACGTCCAACTTCTCTTTAAGCTCAGGGTCAATGCCACTAAATTTGAACTTTTTGGCATTTGACATAACCTACAAATCAATTGATAATTGATATGTCGGTGTAATTGAAATTGACAAAAAAAAAAATTGGAAGCACTGCACGTCTGATAAATTTTTAACTCCAATCTCTCATTCTGCCATTCTTCTAAAGCATCAACTGTTCACTTTATGAGATCCCAACTCAAGCCCGCGGATCATCGCTTTAACTCTTTCAACATTTTTCAATCCTTTTTTTAACTGATCTCATTTGTTTTTCAATTATATTCTATTATGTTCTCTTATGTTCTTTCCTTAAAAATTTTTTTTATAATATTCTATCATTCTTATTAACATAGGTGGTTGACTTATTTCCCAATTCCACCTCCTTTAAGCAAATATCACAAAATATTAAATTCACATTTTTTATCTCACATAACAGACGAACCAATTTCTTTTGTTTTATTCATCACGACTATGCTAGCATGAAAAGAACTAAGCAACATAAATATTCAAAAAAATAAAAATAAAAAAATAATTTATGAAAACATAAATTACATCGACTCACACTCACACCATTACAACACACTACCACCACCACACAGTTACCACCAACCCATCACCACCATCACCACACTACTACCACCAACACACCACCACCACCACCACCAACACCAACACCACAGAAATACCACCCCGCCACCATTATTACTACAAAATTACCACCACGCCAACTCCACCAAAACACCACAAACCCACACCACTACCACCACCACAAAATTACCACCCACAAACCAAAAATTTTATAACAAAAATAAATGTTGCATTTTTTTCATATCCCAAGCATCACACCACCCGCACCACTATCTCAAAAATACCACCCCACCACCATTATTACTACACAACTACCATCACGCCAATTCCACCAACACACCACAAACCCATACCACTACCACCACCACAAAATTACCACCCACACACCAAAAATTTTATAACAAAAATAAAAGTTGCATTCTCTTATATTCTCATGCGCCCAACCTGCCCAAACAACATTTGTTCATGAATCCCTATAAACTCATACAACATGAGTTTTATTTCCCTTCATTCCAGCATTGCAAACAAAAGGGGTGTTTACATAACCATTGCTATTAACAAATCCAACATTATCTTTCATTCATTTTCAAATTCTCACTCAAATATCAAAATTCAAGATAAAATCAGTGAAATGTTGCTATTAACAAATCCAAAACCAACCTTCATAGGCTGTTGACATCTCAAGTTTTATCAATTCAAACACATCACCCGAAACATTGCTATTAACAAATCTAGCACCATCTTTCATCCTATTTTCAAATTTTCACTCAAATATCAAAATTCATGATAAAATCCCATTAATATTTTTCATTTTGATCAAATTCTCAATAAATTGATGGTTGTAAACCACAAACCGAAAGTGTTTCAGGTGTTATGTATGTAATTATCCCAAAACAAAAAATGAAAACGCAAACCACAAACCAAGCAGAGCAAAGCCACCAAAATGCTATGTAAGTATCCCAAAATGAAAATGAAAGTGCAAACCACAAAGCAAATAGAGCAAAGCCACCGAGAAGCATCATTTCAAGCGTTATGTATGAAATAATACCACAGCAACAATGAAAGCGTAAACCACAAATTGAATAGAGCAAAGCCACCAAGACAGAGAAAAAGAAATGTTTCGGGTGCTATGTATGTAATTATCCCAAAATGAAAGAAAATTAGATGGGTTTATGCACGAACCACGGAACGAACAGAGCAAAACCACAAAGAATAAAGAAGGGGTAGAAGATGCCAGAAAACGAAAGAGATCAAAGGAACCAAACGCCGGATTTCCCTCGTCACAGATGCTGGAGAACGAAGAAAAGGAGAAAAACCCTAGGTAACCCGAAGGAAGCAGCGAACACGTGGTCGAGGCCGAAGTGGGGTGTAAGGGGCTAATAACTAAATGAAAAAACTATGAACAGGGGGTTCAATCACATCACTAACTATCAGGTACGTTTAAGTTAACGTGTCAGCGCCGCGCTAACTAAATAGCATTTTCATGCCACGCCGGAGCGAAAACATTGCGTCGAACACACCCTTAATCAACTCAAATAAGCTAAACCATGAGTCAACTTTTTGAATTGTTTTGATGCATTGATCCGGCTCATAAATAATATATTTATGAATACAAATTTGCATATTACATAAAAAATTATCTTAGAAGATCAATGACACCGGTCTTTAATTTGATTGAATTTCGATAAAAATTAATGAGCCATACTTGAATTGAATAACTTTGGAATCAATCCATATTTTAATCAAACTTGGCAAGGCTCAAGATCAGTAGAACCAGTCTCAAAGCCTACTGCTATAATCAAATTATTAACATTCATTTCGATGAACCACAAATTAACTTCTACATTTCAAAAGTCGAATAGAAATTAAAAGAATCAATCGATCGAATAAGTGCAACTCAAAAGAAACAATCATTTCCAACGGACTGAAATTTTTGTAGATGTAATTGTAGAGCTATAAAAAAATAGAACAATAACTTAAAACTGTCACATTCCAACATATTAAAAACAGAAAAAATTACAAAATTTTTAAAAAGCAATAAGAAAATATAAAAATGTAACAACATTTTGCAAAGCAAAATAGTGAAAAAGCAGGCTGGCACAAACCCTCAGATGAAAAGAAAAAAAAAAAAATCTGATGAAGAGCAAAAGAAATAAAATCATATTTGATTATATTTCCGCGCGACACAAAAATTCCGCCACTCAAAAATTTTAATCAAACCAGAGTCGCTGGGTAATTGCCCCATATTGGAGCAGCAGCATCGAAAGGAACCACTGTTAGAAAGCTGACGTGAGGACCACCTTACAGAAATTCAAACAGCTACATATCACCTGCAGATTTGTAGCCTCATTATATGCAAATCCATGGAGTAAGGATAATTTCTAAGTACAGGTTCAAATTATTGGTGTGTTTTGTGTTGCAAATTATAAAAGTTAAATTTGGAAGACCGGGCTTGGAGAAGACTCCAGCAATTTATTGAAGACGGGGATTGTGTAGATACAAAATTGGATAAAATAATTATTAATAATTAGAGACTTTTATAATGCTTTTCATATGTTTAACAAATAGATTTTGAACACTAAAACGCAACTTTTTCATTATGCATATATACTCCGTCACAAAATAGTAGTTGTAGTTACTTGTACCAGGATTGGAGATTGTAAGATCAAAAAACAAAAAATTACAAAGCAAGATTTGTTTGAGAACCATTAGCACAAAAAAGGGGCACGACTCGAGTCTCAAGGAGAGGGTGATATTAAATTGTGGGGTCTAATTAACGTTCTTTGAAGAAACGCCATATGCAGGCTTCACCATGGATGGTCTTAATTTTATTAGTAAGGGGAAGACCAGTCATTATGTGATATCTGAGACATTAAGCTATGAAAATCTCCACAATTGAAATCATAATAAAATCCTGAGCGTCAGAAACATGAAATAACCAGTAATTGAGTGAACATGTGTAAAATTATTGATGTGTTATGTGAGTTTATCTTTTTACATTTTTTATTTGCTCTTCATGATCTGAATTACGTCAATAACTGATGTAAAGAGTTTATCATGCATTGTAAAGATATTTCCACAGCTCAAATGCAAGAGCTCTAGGTCATTTAACAATCCTAAACATGAATATGACAAATTTATTAATGAGAAAAAAAAGTTTACTCATAATAGGGTGATAATCCATACCTCTAGTGCGAAAACTGTCCTTACAAAATCAGCTGCGGTATAGATCATACCAAGTTGCTGCCAATTTTAGCTCCATGCTTCTTAATTATCGCTGCTGCTTGCAGCAGAATATCTTGCTCTGTTGCATATAACTCATCTTTTTTCTACAACCAATAAAAATATGTTAAAGAATGCTAGATCAAAATTCTCCCTAAAAGGTGTTAAGCGAAAAAGATAGATACAATTACTTTCTATAAATTATTATTGGATATGCACAAGTCAAAGATGAATTATTATGAAAAAAAAATACAAATAAATCCATTACTCTTAACCTAAAATTTGCAGTATTCTAAGGAATTATGATTTATTAATGGAGACAGAAAGATGAGTATATTATAATCGTGGTTAAAGGAACTTCAATGGAAGCCACAAATAAGAATAGAAGAATAACCTACCATATTTTTGAGATTGCATCCAAGAGTAAGTTCTACAAATGAATTTTCAATGCGAGAGAGGAAGCAATATGGGGTATCCTTCTCCAAAGATACTGTTGGATTAGACAAAAGCATTGATTTTATCTCATTGGTGACATGAGGAACCTTTTCTAAATCATCAACTTGAATAGCTATATTCTTTATGCAAGCACGCAACCGTGCACGTGACTTATTCACAATTACCTGAAAAGTTTGAGAACAATGTGTTAAAACATGAACCAGTCAGTACATCTTTTAGAGCAGTAAACAGATTAATCAAAAGTTTAGACTCATGAGGGCTCCTTTAGGATGGCTTTAGTTATGTATTAAAGTAGCTGCATAATTGTTAGTGAAGTATACAAATTTTTTGAATGCTGATGTGGGAATTATAAACTACTTCTATTCTAAAAAATTCGAATAATATTTTTCTGGCAGCCATTTTACTCTAAAAGATCTAGTTGCAAAAAGCTTATCACCATACGTAATTTTAAAAGGGAGATTTGCATACATAATACTCAAAATTATATACATTTTCAAGATCTAAAATTTATTGTTTATATAACATAACACTGTTAAATTTTATAATAGAACTCTCAACAAAGAAAAAGAGCGAGGAAGCAACAAAGGGATCCTGCCAAACTACTGATAATTGAACCTTAGAGTCCTTTTAGTAAAAAAGAAATATTGAATAATTCTGAGGTTTTATTTGTAAAAACATTGTAATACCGTATTTAAGCCCATGCTATGAATGTTAAAGGAGGTTTTCACAATAATTTTTTCTTTATGCTATTAGAGGCTAACCTAATAGCCCTCGTGTTGGTGCTTTTCCTTGGGATTGAGCGTGCAGAGACCCGGAACAACATCCGCTTCATCATCGCCACACAGTCGCGATTAGAGAAAACTGGGATGGCAGTGAAGGGATTGCAGTTTTAAACCTGTCGATACAGTCGAGATTAGAGCTAACTGGAAAGCTGATCGCGGGTCGCAATTAGAGCTAACTAGGAAGGCGATCGCGAAGGATGCTCGCGATACAGGTGCGGTTACAACGACCTGGTAAGCAGAAGACGTGCTCGGGCATGTCCTATGACTGAACTGACGATGCCTTCGATTGCTAAATTGCGGCAGAATGTTTCAAGCGGCTCGGTACAAGGCAAGATGAAGCGTGTGTGAAACCAGAACAGTGGAGGAGATAACTATGGTTCTACGTGCGTGAATTGTTAAATTGAGGATGTGAGGAGAAGGAGATAGTGCGAGAGATAAAGGTTTGGAGCCTCTGAGAAAGATAGATCAGGAAATTCTGAGGGTATTGGTCAGGCTCATACAGGGAGCTTACGTCTCTACGGGAGCTGCTACATCAGCATGTGCCTCGTCACAAGTGAAGCTAGCTCTCCCTCCTGTGGATCTAAAACTTAATGGACCTGCCACATATCCCAATTGATCACATCGAATCGATGTTGCTCTAATAGGAAAGAGACTAGAGGGATATCTGACTGGAGTCGAGCCAAGAAATGATAGTGCTGAGAGGGATGCGTGGAGGATCATACTTGTCTTGCTTTACACCTGGCTACTCAACTCGATGGCTACATGGATTGCCTCATCATTAGATGACATTTGAAAGGTGAGTGACATCTAGGCGAAGCTGAAGAAGATTATGTTGAAGCTCAAAACCACATGAGGGTGCTTTAGACTCTGCATAAGATAGAGACAGGGGTCAAGGAAGATAGATCGATTCAGAAGTATTCCATGAAACTGGGGCAGATCTTTGCACAGATGTCGAGTTGTGGCGCTACGAAGTGCAATAAAAAGATCTTTGCACACATGAGAATTATGCAGTTTCCGGCTCATCTGAGCCCGGATTTTGATCAGAGGAGATCCATCCTTCTAGCTCAGGTGACTATCCCTTTATTTGATGAGGCTATTGTTGCGATGATACAGGAGGACAATCACAAGAAACTACACTCTAATCCAAGTGGACTTTCGAGTGTGTGATCAGTTCTGGCTGTCTTGAGCTCAAATATGATAGGTGTCCAAGGGGAGACTCCCAAGCTACAACTGTGCTGAAGTTAGGCATTTGAGCAAAACCTGTCCCAGGCCAGCTAAGAAAAGAGAGACAGGCGAACCTGGACAAGGCAGAGGTCGTGGTCTTAATTGTGGTGGTCGAAAATGTGAAAAAGATGCTATTATTCAAATCTAATAGTAGCAGAGGGAGAAACAAGTGTGATTTTTATCAATGAGGATCAAGAGTGTCTGAAGTTATTGAAGAGAAAGTAGAAAAGAACAGGATATGTGGTTGAGGATGTTTCCAACCATTCGTCATCAAAGAGTAACATTGTCACTTATGCTCACTTTGACAAAGGTATTTGTGATGCATATGCTCTTATCTCTATTTCTACCACAAAATTATCAGAATGGATAGTAAATTTTGGTGCATCTTGACATGTGATAGGTACTGCCAGAGAGTTTTCTTCCTATGCTCCTGAAGCAGTACCAGAGAGCATTTAGACTGTTAATGGTACAACACAACTTATAGTTGGTAAGTGTACAGTAAGGAGTACCAATTATATTGACCATGTCCAATGATTGACATGCTCATTTTGTTCCAGTAAACATTTTATACATTATTGACATTATTTTCCAACTAAAATGTGTTGTTTCTTTTGATATTCCTAAAATGATCTTCCTAAAGAAAGGGATGGGTTTGACATTTAGGATTGGAACGTGACATAGCGGACTCAGATAGTTGGACAAGGAGGGGATGGGCGCAACTTTGAATTCCAAAGCAGAGAGTATTGAAGTAAGAGAATCTGAGAGGAGCGTGGAAGATGTGTTGCTGCTACATTACAAACACATGAGAAACTCTTCTTTTAGTTAATTAGGTAAGTTGTATCCTTCGTTGTACAAATAAATAAAAGCTTATTTGCAATGCTTGTGAGTGTGACAAGCTTACTTGGAGCTCTTGTATCAGTTCTGGGAATAGGAGTTTTTGTGTTTTAAGTTGATACATTATGATAATTGTGGACCTTATTTTACAAGTTCTATGAATGATTATCGATATTTTGTGATCTTTATTGATTGATTTTCTCGTGTTGGCTTTATTTGATGAAAAATAATGACGATGCGTGTGCTTTCTTTTAAGACTTCAATAAGCTAATCAAGATTCAATATGGTGCAGTAGTGTAGATATTAAGGTTTGATGATGGGACAGTACACCAACAAAGCATTTAGGGAATACTTGTCAGCCCAAATGATACAACATCAAAGCACGTCCATACACATAAGTAATAGAGAGGAAGCATAGATATCTTCTAAAGATAACCTAAAGCATGATGATTGCAATGAATATCCCAAAGTACTTATGGGGTCAAGAATTTTTTACAATTGATCAATAGGAAGCCCTCCAAAGTCTTGGATTGGAAGTCCCGTTGTCAGATATTAAAAAAAATAAATAGGGTGTTTGGATGTATGTTTTGTGAAGAACAACAAGCCACCGGTAGAGAGGCTGGATCCAAGAGCTATGAAATGTGTCTTTGTATGTTATTTTGCTACCCAGATGGGGTATGTCTGCAAAAACCTGATATAAGAGATTATTTGTGCCATGGATGTGTCATTTAGAGAATTTAAACCGCACTAAACCAATGAGGCGACCTCACCATTTGATAACTCACAAAATATTGGAGATGAGGCAAGGGGGTGAGCAGCATTGGTGAGAGAGTTGTATACGTGGGAGCAATGTCTTGTCTAATGATGAGAGATGAGTCAATTGAGGAAACAAAAAATAAGGAGAGCAAACCCAGAGATTGTGGAATTCAGGCGGAAGGTGAGCTAAGGGTGTATATACGAAGAAAGAAGCAAAATGAGAAAACGGTATCTATAGTGGTACTTGTGTCAGGTAGTCCCTTGTCTCGGCCTTCCCTGACACTTGAGACACCTACACTATCCACCTCCGACTCAAAACTCACTGGTGATATGATTCCTCCTCCATCTTCACCTAATCCCCCAACTTTAAGGAGAACCTCGCAACAATGTGGGACATCATCCCAATCATTTTAAGTTAGAATATGACATTGCTAACCTTATTTCATATTCTAACATATTACCTTACATGGATCTTTTATTGCATCTATGGATATTGCTCTATACTCTTGTTAGTAAGTTGTTAAAGAGTATCCCAAATAGAAAGTGGCTATGCATGAAGAGCTTAGAGCTCTCGATAAAAACTGAATATGGGAGATAGTCTCACTGCTAGCAAGGTAAGAAACAATTGGGTGCAAGTGGATCTTCATAGTGAAGCAAACACAACTGCTGACGAAATGGTACAATCAGACATAGGACATTAACTATGATGAAACCTTTACATCAATAACAAAGATGAGCACAGTGAGGACACTGATTTCTCTAGCAGTGAATGGTCCGTGAAGGTTGCACCAACTTGATGTGAAGAATGCTTATTTTCATGGCGAGGTACTAAAGGAGGTATATATGGGGATACGACTAGGATTTGGTATAATACAAGCAGTGGGCAAGGTGTATAGGCTCGGGAAGTCACTGTATGGCTTGAAGTAGTCTCCTCGAGCCTGGTTTGACAAATTTAGAAAGGCTATGCTAGGCATGAGATATCAACAGATCAATGCAAACCATATGTTTTTTTGACAACATGAAGGTTGCACCACTATAGTTGTTGTGTATGTTAATGGCACCAATGTCACCAATGATGAAGAGGTGGAGATTGTCCAACTAAATGTAAGAATGGGCAATGAATATGAGGTAAAGGATCTTGGAAAGATCAAATGTTTTATTGGGAATAAGTGACTCGTCAACCTAAGGGGATGATCTTGTCTCGGAGAAAATACGTACTATATATGATCATGAAAACCAGCATGCTATGGTGCAAACCTGCAATCTCTCCAATTGACCATAAGACCAAGCTGAGTGCAGAGGCAGAAGAATCAGTTGACTGTGAGAGCTACCAAAGATTGGTGGACTGTCTGATTTATCTGTCACACTCAATCTAACATCTCTTTTGCAGTGAGCATGGTGAGCCTCTACATGCAAATTCGAGAAAAAGTCATATGGATGTAATGTATCAAATTCTGAGGTACCTGAAGAATGCACCAGCGAAAGAGTTAATCTTCAGGAAGAATGGGATGTAGACATTGAGGACTTTTGTGATGCTAATTGAGCGAGCTGTGCGCATGGCAAAAGAT